AAAAAAAAAAAAAAAAAAAAAAACTTGAATTATATAAAAATCAATTGACAGGAAGCTCCCTGCTTAGTCCAGAGATTCTAAACAGATCCCAAAAGTCTGTCAGGATCAGAACCTGGGTGTGGACTGATGAGGAAGTTGGGAGGATTGAGTAAAAATATAGAGAGAATGTGTAGTCTGGGAACCTTGATACGGTGATTTTTCCAGATTCTGTATATTGTAAGTTTAAAACTTTACTATCTAACGATCAAAGAGGTGCTCAGAAACGGGACCAGATACTTCAAAATTTAAAGTGTCCTGTAAAATATGAGAAATATACTATCAGGGAGCAGCCTCTCTGTATTACAAAATCTGGTCACTCTTTTCAGCAACATAAGAAAGGCAAACTCTGGTCCTTTCTGGAATGAGCACTGCAGGAGTCAGAAGCCCAGGGATCTTTGGCCCCGAGATACTTTTACGACTTTTTTTCAGACGAAGTTTCATCTTGTTGCCCAGGCTGGAGTGCAATGGTGTGATCTTGGCTCACTGCAACCTCCACCTCCTGGGTACAAGTGATTCTCTTGCCTCAGCCTCCTGAGTAGCTGGGATTACTGGTGCCTGCCACCATGCCTGGCTAATTTTTGTATTTTTAGTAGAGATGGGGTTTCACCATGTTGGCTAGGCTGGTCTTGAACTCCTGACCTCAGGTGATCCACCTGCCTTGGCCTCCCAAAGTGCTGAGATTATAGGCATGAGTCATCGCGCCTGGACTTTATATCTTTTTTAAATAGATACTCAGTCTTACTCTGTCGCCCAGGCTGGAAAACAGTGGTGCAATCCCAGTTCACTACAGCCTCAACCTCCTGGGCTCAAGCTATCCTCTCACCTCAGCCTCCTAAGTAGCTTAGACCACAGTCACATACCATCATGTCTGGCTAATTTTTAATTTTTGTGGCGACAGGGTCTTGCTATGTTGTCCAGGCTAGTCTTGAACTCCTGGCCTCAAGGGATCCTCTTGTCTCAGCCTCCCAGAGTGTTGGGATTACAGAAGTGAGCCACTGCACCTGGCCACTTTTATGTCTTCTCTCTTGGACTCATATTCACTGTCGTGTTTCCACATCTCATGCACACGCTTGGCAACAGCAAGCTATTTTGCTGAGCTAGGATTATGTCTCTCCCTTCCAAGATGAAACGATTTAGAGATAGGACACATTTATCTCTGTACTGTCTAGTACTTGGTACCTGATAGGCACTTGGGATGGTTCATCATTAACTTGATTGGATTAAGGGATATATAGATAGCTGCTAAAGCATTATTTCAATGTGTGTCTGTAAGGGTGTTTTTGGAAAAGATTGGCATTTGCACCAGTGGACTGAGTAAGGAAGATTTGCCCTCACTCAATGTGGGTGGGCACCATTCAATTGGAGAGAACAAAAAGGCAGAGGAAAGGTGAATTTTGTCTTCCAGAGCTGGAACGCCTGTCTTTTCCTTCCCTTGGATTAAGAGTTATACCACCGCTCCCCTGGTTCCCCAGCTTGCAGATGGTGCATCATGGGACTTCTCTGCCTCCATCATCTTATGAACCAATTCCCATAATAAATGCACTCTCGTATCGTTATCTGCATCCTATTAGTTCTGTTTCTTTGGAGAATTCTGACCAATATAGCATTTGAATGAATAAATGAACTAGCTAAGTCTCATTTTATTGGTAACACTATTCCTATTTTAACGTATTCAAGACAATATAACTGCATAGGAGTAGAATATTGGAATACCTAGTAAATAATGGCGCTAAAAGCCATTAATAACTATTAGCATGTTTGCTGGAATATACGTGGATTGAGATAGCCCTTGTCAAAATAGGTTTTT